TAAATGTGTGTTCAGTTGACTTTCTATGCGAACCTAACCTAACATTAGATGATATGAATGATAATTGTTTTAAAATAATTAAATAACATCTGATTTATTAATTTTATGATGATTTGAATGATAGCATAATCTCTCGGACGCGACAAGTGTTGGCCGACTTTGCGATGTCGTGCGACGACAACGGAAGGCTTATATTGAAACCGAGACAAACCGTGAAGAACACTATCGAACACTTGAAGATCTGATCCCACCATCCAATTAGGCATCACTTACTGTACGACAATATGACACAAATCACTGGCCATTGGATTTCGTAAACAATTTGTAGAAATATGTAAAATAATTTATAGAAATGTTTTGTTAGTTAAATGCAAAACAAAACAAAAAACATTATTTTTAACAGTTTGTAACAAAAAATACTATAAAAAACAAAGAAATGAAAAAATTCTTAAATTATGAAAAAACTTCGCTAAAAAACTTAAGTTATAAACACAATTAAAGAGATTATAAAACACTCTTAAAATAGCGAATTGTGATATAATTTTTTTTATAAATCATTTTTATTTATTACACAAATTTCCAATTGATTTATATGTGAAATCACTTAAAAGTGAAACATTTAATGATAGAAATATTGTGTTTTTAATACCGGTTATTAGAATACATTCCAAATACAATTGTAATTTGGTTGTAATTACATTATAATTTGCAATTTTAATATTTTTGTCAATAAACACTTTTGTATATGGACAATAATGTTACATTATTAATGTATAACTACTGTATTTACGACATAAGTATAATCATTTGATTGATCCGAATTATATATTTTTATTATTTATAAATTATAATGAGTATCGTTTTATTTTTTACAAAAATGAAATTAGTTTTAATCACAATTTATACGAATAAATATAATGAGTTATTATTAATAACAATTCTGTACACAATTATATACACATAAAGTATAATAAGTTTGAATTTAAAGTTCTGTCGATTCAATGAATACTCCGTTTCTATCGCTGGTCTTCAAGAATATTCTGAATCTAGTTTTCGACACAATATCCCAGAAGTCGTCCTATAATTAAATGAAGAATATTTTATAATCAATTGTTTATCGCAAACAAATAGTGTAATCAAGTGATAACTTACGCGAAAGTTTTTGCTCACAAAACAATAGACAATAGGATTAATACAAGTGTTAAACATAGCGAGAAAGTGGGCGCCGAAGAAAGCAAACACATAGATGTGATACTGAGTACTGGTGTGAAAGTCGATGAGGTTTTTGTTGAATATGACGACCAGAAAGAATACCCTTAAAGGAAGCCAACAAACGGCAAACATGACGACCAAATAAAAGAGCATTTTTATCACTTTGATTTTGTCCACTGATATCATCGGTGTTTTCATACGTTTGAGTTTCAATGCTATGAACGCATAGAAAGTTGTTTGCAATACAAGTGGTAATAGAAATGTGAAGATAAACACCAATAAGACGTGCACTTTCTCTATGTCTGGGTTGTCGTACATCAGCCGACAGTCATTAGTTTCAATGCTATGAACGCATAGAAAGTTGTTTGCAATACAAGTGGTAATAGAAATGTGAAGATAAACACCAATAAGACGTGCACTTTCTCTATGTCTGGGTTGTCGTACATCAGCCGACAGTCATAATAGACATTGCCTTCCCATTCAAATGCCATTGTTTTACAGAATTTAAGTGATATTCCAGCGAATATTGAGCCCAATATCCATCCAATTATCAGTAGTTTTGATGAAAACGATTCAATTGTCTTATAGTTTGACGTATAGAATATCGGATGTACTATAAGTATATACCTTTAAAATAACATAAATTATACTTATAGTGATTTATTATATGATTCTATGGTAAAGTTATTTTAACATTTCTTAAAACTTTAAGCACTTAATAAAAAATGTGTAATTTATTATTGTTATTGTCTATTCAGTTCAATAACCAGATATTATTATAAATATTTAAATATTAAAAATTTATTTTAATGTTTCTAAAAATGTTTTCATTGATTTCTAAAGTAAATTTCATAATTAAATCTCGTTTTTGACTAATGTTAATAATAACATCATTAATGCCAATGAATGACCGCATACTGTGTTTGACCATAAAATCAATTGTTTTTTCCTGAATCTAATTCTTTATATTATTCAATGACCCAAATCTATGCCTAAATCCTAACCTATTTGCACAATACTAATGGTCTGGATTTACATCACAAGTAATGCTCAATAATTGGACATTTATTGCAAATGTAAGCCAACATTAATTCCTTAATTAACTGAATGTTTTAATGAGAATTTAGATTTAATTATATTTAAAAGCAAATATAATTATATAATTTTTATAAATAAATTATGCAAAGAAAATAGTGATGATTACCTCTCGTAACTGATAAGAGTGAGTGTATAACAGCTGACAAACACCGATAAAAGGACCGACACTTGTGAGAGCGGACACATAAACCGAGGGAATATCCAGTGGCCTAACATGAAGTCTGTGTACAGAAAGGGCACCGACAGTACCCCAAGACATATGTCAGCGATCGCTAGATTTATAAGCGATTTGCGAAGTATTGGCTCAAAGTTTTTGCCAAATGTTTGAACAATAATCACAATTAAGTTCTCGAAAAGCGCCAAAACAGAGATCAATGAATACGATATTATAAAAAATATTTGCCATCCGATACTCAATGCCTCCAAACTTGTGGTAACTTCGGGTTCACTCAGGTTTTTCTGGTCTGCAATATAGCCATCCATTGCTTAACAATCGACAAATATTTAACTAATAATTAAACTTCATTTGACTTCAATATTTATTTAAAATTATTATTTTTATTAAATAAATAGTTTAAACACTTGTAAATCAAACAACTTTAAACATTTATGACATAATTCATGGCAATAAATGACATAAACATTTACGCCTAAACTTAGATTCTTGTCAATCGTTTAACATTTGAATAAAATATTAGGAAAAATATATGAGTGATTGAAAGAAGAGTTATCAATGTTTAAGAATTTTGTGTTGAATTCATGAAAGCCTTTCGATGAAATGAAACGAGTGTTGAGAATAACGCACAGAATATACGGTTCATGTCTTATATACTACGAGAGCGTACTGTAGAGGCATTGCATGCTATTTATATTCTGCATAAACACTGCAATCCCTTACCGTTCACTTACTTTTAATCTATAGAATCGTAACTCTCGTAACAAATAGCTTCTAATGGATTGGTTTACGTCAAAAATACGGTATAAATTCTTAATAAACATAATATTTATTGTTTTGGTCGCATATTCTTGATATTAATTCACGAATAATATCGTAAAATTCTGTGGAAAATTGTTTTTTTGGTAAACAATTTTTAGATATGAAATAATTAATAAATATTAGAAATATTTTATGTATTATTCATTGAAGCTTAAATAGATGTTTAGAACTTCTTTATATATTTTGAAAAATTTAGCACATGATAAGATATTTCATAAATACATGT